CTCACGAACTACGAGAGACGGGGTGGGAATTTTCTCGTTCTTCGATTCGCTCGCTCGCGAAAATTCGTCTAGCTTTCAGCGCGCTATGCGTAATTTGGGACGTATAACAACGTTTGCCTCGTCAGCCGCGCGCGCACGCTTGTCACTTTTGCCCTCCGGACATTATGTCGCTTAATCGCGTAATGTGGCTTTCCCGATAACTCCGTCGCCTGATATACCGATCCGATGCGTTTCCGGTATCGGAAATTGATTTTCGAACGATATGATTGAAAAGTAGCCGGGAATGTTGTTTCCCGTGAACGAAATACGGAATAAGTCGCTTCTGAAGTGAACAGGAAGATCACCGAGAAAGCGGTTACGTTTGCTTGGAATGACCGACGAGAATAACATTAAAGAAGAAAGGAAAAATTCCGCTCGTGTACGGTATTTTCGAAGGTAACGTTGCGTAACGTTTGAGAAAACTCGGCGAATTTATTCAAGATCTCGGAAAACTTGCGGCGAACAAGAGGGAATGTTGCGATAACGCCGTGAAGAGAGACCGAGCGCAAAGATGCTGGCGGCGGACTCAGCAACATGAATAATTAATGTTCAGCAAATTAGCTTGTCGACTCGTCGCGCTTGGATCCCCTACTTTTATAATTATTATATAATTAAACTCGGTGCGCGCAACGTTTCATACGCAAACGTTGAACCAGGATATGCAGGGACACTTTGGCGTCCTTATAATTCCACATATGTAAATACCGACCGTTATATGTGATTAGCGTTTGTAATGCGAGATTATATTATTATTAAATATACGAACATTGGTGGGATAATAAATAATTTTCATTAATTGCCAGTTCAGTTAATTTATTCAGTCGAGACGCTTTCGCCGTTAATCGGAAGAGAAGATTCTCTATCATTCACTATCATTTTGAAATCAAATCCTTTCTTTCGTGGCACCCGAGTCGAAATTTCGATGCTACTCTGACTATGCTTTTAAGGATATAATTTGCGCCTACATGGACTGCTTATAGGCTAATAAAAATCTATTTTGATAATACCGACGCTTTTTAACTTCTCTTTTGAACCTTCAATTTCACAGATTGAATTCTAACGCCACCTTCAACGGCCTATTTTGATACTAAAACAGCGAAAGCAAAAAATTAAGACTTTAGTACCAAAATAAGGGTTATTTGCCAAGATTTAACATAAGGCCAATCTTTTCGACTCGGGTCGTTACGTGTCTAAAAACACCATAGATGTATATTTGTTACACATCTGTAAGGCAGCTTTATCGGCGTTGCGGGCTCATTGTTAATTAGGCCCTGCCCGATTCGCGGGAACAATTGTCTTTGATAGCGGACTAATCGATCTTATTGGTTCTCGGGCCTCGGGGAATGCCTACCGCATTCCGTTAAAGCCGCTGAAATTAAACGAAGCCGCGAAAGCACGGAAACGTTATCGATCTTCTCTCGCTTTGGGGCGGCCGCTCCAATCTTCCGATATTGGACGAACCGCTAATTTGCAATGAAGAGCGCGTGTTACTGCACAGATAGAAAGTCGATTTATACATTTGTTCGGAAATCCGCGTGACGACTATGAACGCTGCAGAACGGTCCGATGTACTCTATCGCGTCTGTCTTCTCTTTCGGTTTCACAATGATTACTGTACGAGCCACTCACGTTGAGAACGGCGCGAGACCGGGTATTAGTGGCTTCGAAACGTCATGAATTTCAATGTCACTTTCAAAACGTCAACAGATATAAACTGACGTGTATGCGATATTGTACGGGTTGAAATTTCGCTTCGAAGATCAGCCCTGGAAATTCCACCGAACTTGTTCAATGAGGAACTTCCAGATATCCCGGGAATGGAACTTTTGATTCTACATTGATCCTACAGATTCCACGCAATTTGAAGAATAATTAGAAACAATCTCAAGACGTAATATTTTACGGTTTACATATGAATGTCAGGATTTTGACTCGGGATCTTCCTTTATTTCCGATGAGTTTGTTAAATGTTCGAGAACATCGGAAAAATCGGGAAAATCGGAAAAATGTAATAAATAATTAGACGCACCTGGATATGCGCATCCAGCATCCTAATTTTAGGCTGCTCCACTTCGAACAATACACGTTAGAAAAAAAAAATAGTTTGTTGAAAACAAGTGAAGACAAATTATTGTCTTCTGCATATCTTTTCTTACCGAGGTTAAACTTGAAAAAAAAAAACCTTTTCAATTTTCGCCTGAAAATCGCGCTATATTTCGAATGCATTAAATATAACCATTAAATGTGTTACGAATGCAAACAGAATGTAGAACCACACGTATCCATATTTACGAATTACTCTAATTAATATGACGTCCTATGGTCTTTATTCTACTCCTCTCTGCTATCAGAGACTGTTACGCAAGCTAATAGACCCCTCTCCTCTCGTGGCGTGACATAATTGTTGAATGGCCTTTACAAAACAAAAAGCCAAATATCTCGATGTCGATTAATTAGCAGTTTATTACGCGATTAAACTACATAATTCCGGAAGGTAAACGCGATGCATGTATGCGCAGCTTATGACGCAAATGTTGTCGTACATCACAAATTACGCATAGCGCGCTGAAAGCGAAGTGAACTTTCGTGAGCAAACCAATTCAACATTATGTGGTCATTGTTAATATTGTTAATATAATTAAACATTATGTAGTCGTTGTTAATACTGTTAATACTGTTTAGTTTTTGCTAATTAAGCACAATCGCACAATCCTGATTCTTTTATTATTAATATTAGTATGAACTCTTGACGAGCAATTATACCTGTTGATTCGGTTTCTTTAATTTAGATAATTCCTTAATTCCTTAATTTAGATAATTCCTGCCTTTGCTTTGGGAACAGATCACGTGCGCGACGCGCATCGGTGGGAAACATTTCTATCGAGGTCTCAATGTGGCCAAAATTCGCTTGGAAAGTCGGTAGCTGACGTTTGACATCGAGCAAATGATATCGATATTTTACACGTCCCTTCCTATTATCCTTGAAATAGGTGTTCTATTGTGTCAGGTTATCCTGATGACTCAAGAGGAATTCCCCGGCTGTCGAAAGCTCTTCCGTTCATTCTTCCGCAAGAATAAGCGGAGAAATCTCAGCGTCCCGAAGCGATGCAGTCTTCGACGCCGGCGTTAGTATTTTTATCGGCAAAACGATAATCAATTATCCTTCATCGCTGGGTGGAGCTTCAAATCGCGGAGATTTATGTTCGCGTTGCTTCGCTTGACGTATCGGTAATGAAAATGTATTCTTGCTTTCTTATTTTCATTACCATCAAATACTACAGGCGCGCGCTATCTCACGCCGTTGATCCCTAAATCCTTTCCAAATAACCTCGAGCTGTTAAATTACAACCTTCGAGCGGCGACTTCTCCCCGCGCTCTTTTCCACGCGCCCTTCTTCCGTTAAGATTGTTATTAAATTTATCTTTTTCTCTACATCAACATGCCAATTATTACTAAATTCAATTCAGTTAAAACTGCTCCTTAATGATAATATCAAGGAAAAACTGAGATAAAAATGAGAAAAGCCGTGAGGAGCGCCTCTCGGCCTTTTTTGTTATTAAATTATTTCTCTCCAACATTAAAATACCATCCGCTAAGATTAATTTAATTTCGCAATTACTCCAAGTGCTATTGTGCTTCATCAAGCTCGACGCTTGTTACTTATCGCTACCCACCATCATCTACTTAATGCGTCTCTGCAATGTCTTGTTAACGTTTTTTTCATCAGACTCGCTCCAGAAACCGAACGAACTTTCTTTTCTCCCGCGCAAAATGTTTCTTAATTCTCATTACGTATTTCGTGGCTGTCCTTTCACACGCGGACTTTCTTCTTTCGTGCGGACTCCTTTGTTCATTCGTTCGATTTCGCGAACGCTGTGACGTTTTTTGCGCGTCAAAGAGAATACTGCCGCATTTAAAAGCGCAACTCGACCATTAATGCCGCGCGAAGCTGCGTATTCCATTTGTTGAGATGTTATTCCTAGAAAGAACACTTCCACGGCTGCGCCTCCTTTTATCATTTCCCCACGTAATTCTCATCTCGCTAAGAAACTCCGAGTTCTCTTCCGAAATAAGACGGCGCTCTATTTAGGAATTACGGGGGCTGCATTGAAGTACGTAAATCTCGCTCTGGGAAAAAAAATATAATACACTCTCCGATTTTATAATGCGTGACAGTTAGCAGGCGGAAACGGACTTTTCTTCATTTCCCTCGGAGAACATAAGCCCGAGATGTTGAGACACTGTGCGCTCTCGTCTCCTCGCGAACCACTTCGGGGCAAACGCGAGCGCGAGAAATTCATAATTAGCACGAGGAAAGCTCGGTAATATTTTGAACGAAGCGGTCACCTCGATTGCGGCACACTCGCGGGATTTGATTGTCGCGATATCGCGAGCGGTATCAGCCCTCTCATATCTGTGTGTTGCAGATATGTTGTATGTCCGAGCGCGGTCGCGGCGATTGGATTAATTGTCTTTGCGAGGACCCGGCTGTCTCGATTGTGGTTTATCCTATCTCCCGCGTATATCCGACCGTGGATCGCGGCTTGCTGCGCGGCCGGAACGATATATAGGTCGCGCGTCGCGCGGGTTAAATCGAAGAATTCCTCTCTCCGCGTCAGAGGCGCGATTAATATCCGGATATTGATAACCGATCGCGTCCCGCCGCCACTCTGTTTAATATTTCTCTTTATTATCAATCGGAGAATGCGGCCAGTTGCGAGACGGAATATAGACGCGCGAGAAGACCCGACCCGACTCGATATACGCAGAAATGCCGGGAATCTTCCGGCTCGTATTGAAAGTACAATATGCCACCTACGTTCCCGGCTCTAACTGGCACTTTCGATTGCAATTTTACATCGAAGCCTTCCCCTTCGTTCACTCGAGCGCGACTCGAATATCGTCCGCTTCCCTCCGCTCCGAATAGCGACTGATGTGGAGCACGTTTTCGTACGTTTCAGGGACGCGAGCAGCAACATTCTGGACAATTTGCTGTCCCGCATGGAGCAGTACGCCACGAATTTAGAAACGCTGGTGGAAGAACGCACGGCGGACTACCTCGAGGAGAAACGTAAATGCGAGGAGCTCCTCTACCAGTTGCTGCCGAAGTAAGTCTCACGGAACGCGAATAAAGCAGAGCTATCCTCCGAACGAGATCGTCGTTCCATTAGCCGCGCAAGGTCTCCCACTGAATTCCCTCGAATGCTTTTCGTATCCGCTTCGAGAGAGGACCCGTAAATATTTAAACAACCGTATTACTCGGCTGTTTCGAGCAAATCCGACGCACGGGATTCGATCAATTTCGATGTCCGACATTTATCGTTTATTTTACATCTTTTATCGTAAATCTCTCTCTCTCTCTCTTTTTCTCGCATTCGAGCGTTTCGAAATTGTGAATTTTTCTCGCGCGGAAAATCGCTTATCGAGCTTCGCCGTTGGGGGATTTATTAATCTGACGCCGGGCGTAAAGCGATCGCGCATAAATGTATGCGCGCACTTATCCCACCGGACGTATGGGCATTAAAACCGCTAATTAACGCAAATGAAAACGGTAATGATCAAATGGCTCTTACGCAAAGAAGCAAAAACGCTTCGCGGTAAATGGCGTAAATTAAACGGGGTCGGGAAAATATGCTCGCGTTGCGGCCGCCGCGAAATCGAATACAGCGTAATATGGGAATGAAAATGAATCGGTGGATTTCGTGCGATTTGACCACACGGCGCGGGGGTACGATCGTACGGGCGGTTATTGAGAGTCGGTCAACCTTGAAATTGAAATTGATCCGGGAAGAAAGAGGAAAAAAAATGAGAGAGCGGAGGAAAAAGGAACGAATCCAGGATTCGGCGCGCATTCGCGCGAGAGCGAAAGAGCAACGAGCGAGGAGAAGACGGCCGGGACAATTTCCCGGGGGCGTCATCGGGAAACATAATCCGCGGAACTGCGAGCTGCGTAATTATACGGGCGAGCGTTTTAATTTACTTCGAAGGCCGCAGCGCGACGTGGCAAGGTGCCTCGAAATAATTTCGTCGATCTGCGAGAGCGGCTCGACACACGCCGTCTGCCTCTCATATAATTGTACCGCAGGGGGAGGCTTGTTACCGCAGGGGGCGTAATAAAGCAATCAGAGATTTCGCCGTCCGCTCGAAAATATTACGTATGCTCGCCGACGCTGATTCCGATGAGGATCGATGGCGGGATTATTAATGAATTTTTGGCCTTGCGCCGATCAATCGAGAACCGGCGCCCCCCCCCGGAGAGCAATGTGGCACACGTACAGGGTGTTTCACTTATATTTAGAGCAGTGTGAGAGAGCGAGAGCGTGTCGCGTGAGCTCCGATACTCCGGCGTGCTGCTCTGTATGTAAGCGAAACACCCTGAACATGTACCACGCGCGGCCGAAGATGCTCATTTAAACGAAGGTCCCCCGGGACTGCTATGCGCGGTTAAGAGACGCCGTCTAACTTCTCGAGCGAGCGAGCGAGCGGGCGTGTGTTAAGCCTAACGAAGTTTACGAGTACGGGGCGAAACGGGGAAATTCCGCCGCAAAAACTTCGTCGTCGTCCGTCGTCGTTGGCCCCACCGTCGTGCAACAACGACGTAATTAACGGGAGACCGAGCGGTGATGTTTAATCGATGTCACGTTGCGTCGCACCATCGCGACCTGAGCGCTCGCATTGTCGAGCGATGCGCTTCCTCGGTACTTCATTTGGGGGGGGGGAGGGGAGGGGGGAATTGGCCCCGAGCGAAAACGCGCTCGTTGGCTCGGGATGAAAGAGAGGAAAAATTGTCCGGAGACGATTTTCGCCCCGAAAGACGTTCGTGGCTCCGCCCGTTTCGATCGCCCTCCGTGAAGGACACACTCGTTTGTCTCGCGAGCAGATCAGTGGCGTCCCAGCTGATCCTCGGACAAAGTGTGATCGCCGAGACGTACGACCAGGTGACAATCTACTTCAGCGACATCGTCGGTTTCACCAGCCTGTCGGCCCAGAGCACGCCGCTGCAGGTGGTCGATCTGCTCAACGATCTCTACACGTGCTTCGACTCCATCATCGAGAACTTCGACGTTTACAAGGTGAGTATTGACCCGCTTTTAAGCGACCGAGTCCGAGGAGTGTGATATGGAAATGACACGGCTCCCGGTACAAGAGATGAATATTTTACGTGTAATAAGGTCACACGACGTGCTTCGGGCCACTCGACGATGAACTTTCGCAACACAATGGAACAAAGTATCATAACGCGTGCGATGACGTCACGTTGTCCCAATATCGCGGCTTCTTCCGGCGCGCGGAGTTGTCGTAACGACGCGCGCTTTGTCCCGCTTTTCTCTCTCGCGCGCGCCGGACCATAAGTTTTCCTTTTCGAGAGTACGACTTCTTCAATCAAGAAACTTTCTCTCCCTCTCTCCTACTGTTCTCCCATATTCTCCGGTTATCTTTCCCTCGCGATTTTCCAGCGGTTTCGCCTTCAGGTTAAACGATCATCCGGGATAACGTATCGCTCAACCAACACAAATCGTATTTCTCATCGAGATCCCGAGACCTGATTCTATATTTACGAGATCTGCACGTGGCATCACTTGGGGTAGCCATTCGCGCGATTCCCGAGCCGTTACGGCTGACGTGAGCCACAGCATGGGAGAGAGAGAGAGAGAGAAAGAGAGAGAGAGAGAGAGAAAAGTGTGGTAATTCTATAGGACAAATTGCTCTTGATTCCTTGGAAGATTTCCCACAAATAATACACGATTATTGCCCGTGGATCCGAATCTTCCTCTTGCGCAATACTCACGTGCCGGAATCGCGTCCACGAATGATTACGGTGATCAAATACGAGAGTCGTCATGTACGGTACATAAATTTGCGAATGTGTAAAATCGCCGTGATAAAATTCAGCGGCGGTGATAAATTTGTTTGTGTATGCGAGTACAGTGGAACACGTCCGTTAGTAGTAGTACGATCGATAAAGCGTGGTATTCTATTTCCGGTAGTCTTAGTTTTAATTTAAAATACGATCCCCGGTGTAGCGCGCGATAGCTATTTGATCACCATAATTATATACTTAAATATACCCCTCTGAAAAACATAGCTCTAGTTTCGCTGGAGTCCATTAATTTCCTCTAATTACGGATTAAACTCTCTCTCTCTCTCTCTCTCTCTTTTGTTTTTTTCACTTTAAAACTTTTTCTCCTCTCTACATTCACTTTTTAACACGTTGAATACCGGTACTGAGCGTAAACTTTTGCTTACTGTTTATGCTTCCGTTAAAGCTTCTACCTTTATTCAACGGGCAAAGACGACTTCGTTTAAAACGAGATGAATTTGCAAATTTCGAGGAAAATATTTTTCACCAGAATTCACTGCAATTAACGTTCTATTGATATTAGACGCGTCAGCAACGTTTCTTCGAACAGTCTCCATTGTCGTTTTATAATTATATTGACATTGATTAGTAGAACTTTTTCGAAAGCAGCGGCAGTTCGAGAAACACGACGGTTCTCGTTTATCGTCCCTACAGTATTTTCGCTCGTGTCGGTTCTACGTTGACTATATTGCTTAATCCGTTTACCCCTCTTCGATATTGCGAACTTTTTGAGGCCCCGGTGTCCTTGTTAAACGTACAGGCGACGTTTCCACGGACTTTCCTCTACTCGACACCTTTTTCCCTCGTAATTAATCTATTTAATCCAAATGGAACACACAGCGGACGACGATAAATAAATTTAACACGAACACTTTTCTACGTTGTCCTTAAGCCTCTCTCTTTCTCTCTCTCGTCATATTAGATCCCATGATCGAGAACACGTCGGCACGCAATTTTTCTCGATTCTGCTCCAGGTGGAAACGATAGGGGATGCCTACATGGTCGTGTCGGGATTACCAGTGAGGAACGGCATGAATCACGCCAGAGAGATTGCGAGGATGAGTTTAGCTCTCAGGGATACGGTAATGACGTTCAGCATTCGACACAGACCGAAGGAACAATTGAAGCTTCGGATTGGCATGCACACCGGTGAGCCACCGATATTTTTCTCCGATCGCGAGACGTGAAAAAAGATTCGTTCCGACGCGATTCTCCCCCTCCGGCCTTGCGCCGACTATCCTGTAACCGAAACGTTAGCTTACGAAGGTGAAATATCTTCTTTGATTTGTCGTTTCGCGAAGTCACCTGGTGGCTCCCCCTTGAAGAATTACGGTATCCGACGCTTTGCGGAACGGTCGTATAAATCGAGTCCGCTTTACGCCGCATTACGGATCGATTTTACGCTCGCTTGCTGCGAAGGTCGGGAACACGAGTTCCAGATTAGTATCGCGACGGCGGCGACGAAGGCGAATTAAATCAAATAATTAAAGTGCCTCGGAGCAACTTCCAGTTGGAAAATTTCTTTCCATGGGAATTCGCTCTCGCGCCTTCGCGAGCGCCGCACGGATCGATGCCCGCTGGAATTGATCCGCGGAAATTGGACCGTTGGAAAAGCAGAAAGCCACATATCGTTATGAAAGGATAAATGGCCGCGCCTGCCGATTAACGACGCTATTCTTTCGTTCTCGCTTCCATCCCCGTCTCATTAATCTTTCTCGTGCAGATAAATTCATGGGCGTGCTGACCCTCGCAAGTCACCCTCGGGCTGTTACGTGACGCGAGAACTTCTGGACAGTATCTCGTCCCGTTTCCATTTCCCGCTACAATTTTTCTCGGGTTTGCGTTGCCGGTGTCACGTCCGGCGTGACACCGAAGCGACGTCCTTTGAGATCACGTGGAACTTAGATTACTCCCGTGTCCTCACTCCGGCTCAATCGGGAGAAGCTCTACTCCGGCCGCTTAGTACGCACACCGACCGCTTTATCGTATAATTGATAAAACTAATTACTTTTTAAAGTAAAACCAGGCGCGTTCTCTCGTCGTTATTCGCGAATTTAAGGAAGTTCTACGGCTCAGTGTCGTATTTTTAGTAGCGTATTAACGAGGTCACTCGTAAATTTAGTACTTATCAAGCAAAATTACGTTTCCCTCTTATACATTTGTTTCACCACTTAAATAATAAATGTTAATTTGATTACGAAGTTGAAGTAGGCATATATATACACCCAATATTACAAATACGAAAATATTGTTTCTTTATTTTTCTTATTAACGTTACATTTATGCATCACTTGATCTAATAAAGATGTACCGATAATACAAAAAAGAGATATATATATATATAGTCTTTATTATCACAGTAGTTTTTCATTCAGATCTTATTTTCATTTCATCAGAAGAGGATTAAAAATAGAAATTACAAATAGCACGCTAGTCTCACGAAATACGATGCAAAAAGTGTCAACTTTAGTTACAAATAACCTTCGACCCAGATCCTGAATTGCCGTCGGACTTTCGACGTCGCTTTTAAACGCGATAGATCAATTCGCAATTATTTCATAATTTTTTCCATTACTTGAAGAGATGCGTGACACATTTAATTGTAGCGGCCGGCCGTACGCGCGTCTGCTTGCAGGACCATGCGTGGCCGGCGTCGTAGGCCTCAAGATGCCGAGATACTGCCTGTTCGGCGACACCGTCAACACAGCCTCCAGAATGGAGAGTAATGGAGAAGGTAATTAACAGCACAGTCGCAACTCTCGGGTAGGAACGTCGTCATCGTCTTACGACGGTGGCGACGCGGAAGCGGAAGATCCGGGGGAGGGGGTTACGAGGTTACAGACGGGCGTTTAATTAAAGGGTAGAGGTAAAGACGCGCGCGCGCGGCAAGGGCAAGGTCGCTTAAAAGGAATTCGACCCTGTTTGAAATCCGTTTCTGCCGGGGCCGCGCGGTAAGCTCATTTCCAATCCACGGCCGCTTCGTTATCGATCCCAGCCGCCGGTCGTTTTAATCTCCTCGCGCGATCATCGAGGAAATACCGGAGCCGCCTAAAACTATCGATCGATGTGTCCCCTCGGGCACTGTGTCACCCGTGGTATCGATTTTCGGTAACAAGGTTGGAAATTAGACGCGTGCTCCGCCGTGCGCGGATCACGGTCGAGGTCTAATTAGGAAACGAAAGGCGAAGATCGCGGAGCGGTTTCGGCTGTTTACTCACGGCGGGGCCGCGACACGCGTGCAATTTGGCGCGCCTCGTTTATTGGCACGCTTATACGGGGTGCGCACGCGAGTGTGTATGTGTGTGTCGATGAATGTCGCGTGGGTGGTTTCCCCTCGCCGCGGATCCAGATGGCGGAGATGGCAAGGACGCGACGCAAGGCGCCACGCGGCTGTTTATCGAGTCTCCTCCGTGGCTCTCTCGTCGTTCTCCGAGCTACGGGCTTATGTAGCAGCCGCGTTAAAGTTTCCGCGTGACGGATCGCGGACGGACGATTGCGTTTCGGCCGATTCGGGAACGCTCGATCACGTAGCGCGCGTGACACCGCGGCGATCCGCCGCGCTACACGTCGCGAGCCGCGCGTTGCCGAGTGTCCGGGGGATTAAACGTCCATCTGGGAAACGGAGCGTACGCCGGGACGTTCTGTTTACAACGGCCAATGGGAGAGACGGGCGCGTTTTACACGTTCTCTCGTGTCTTCGTCGAGAGATCGGCAAAGTTGACGATTGAATTAAGCGGAACGACGCGTCGATTATCCTCCTCTCGAGAACGGGCGAGCGCGCATCACCGATGCCGTCGGACGCGCGCGGTTTGCACTTCGTCAGTCATCCTCTTATCGACGCACTACACGAAAACACGTTTCGCACGTGAGATAATTGGCGTATCGCTGTGCACAATTGATCCATCACGCGGAATGCGCGTACTTAATCAATTAACTCGTCCCGTTCGCTCCCAGCGCAGAAAATGTATTATGCGATATATAATTGGCACATTACACTGCATTATTAATCCGTCCTGATGAAATTACGCAATTGATTTACGACGTGAAGACCGCCTCGCTATCGATCGTCGAGGCATAGCGCAACCTCGTTCTCGCATCATTCTCTTTCTCTCTCTCTCTCTCTCTCTCACTCGGCGCATCTCACTGCCCTTCCCCCTCTCTGTCACTCGCTCTTTCTCTCTCTTTCTCCCCTAGGAAACGCAATCAGGTGGCTCCAGAAATAGAGGAGGATCATACGAAAATTACGTATATCGGATTAGCATATTCGCGATCGCTCGCTCTAGCCGCCGGCCGTAATCGAACTTGCGCACTCAGTTGCCGACGACGGAAGTTCCGATCGACGCGCGTAACTTTATTATCGCTTTAAATTCCATTAAAAGTTTCCCCGGGCGACTCGCTCGTAAGACGGCGCGATAGCGCGATTTATTCGTGTTAGGCGGGACGATCGGCCCGTAGGTAAATTTATACTTCTTCCTCTTCCCTCCCCTTTCTCTCTCTTCTTTCACCAAGTTATCCTTTCACCACCTTATCGTTTAGTAGATCCTCGTAATTGCAACTTCTCACAAGAAAGCTTTTCCATTTCTTTCCCTTTGTTCCTGTCAAGGTTGTCGCGAGACGAGCTCGTTGTCGAGGAGTCGGGACTGCGCCGAGATCTTCGACGATCAACCCCCCCCCCCTCGTGTCCCGCAAAAAGGGATGGCAAAGGGCTCACCGAACCGCTTCTTGCGAGCCCGCGTCAGACACGCGCACCTCCAACGCCGAGTTAATTGATAGTCAAGGCGCGAGGTTCACGTGTCAAAGGGCTTTAAATTTGCCGACGACCCTTCCCCGCGCGTCGCCTTGACGTTGCTCGTTCGCGTCAAAATAAATCGAGCCGAGCTACTTCTATAAAGGTCACGTCGGGGCGCAGAATTAATGAGAGCTGTAGAACGACGGTTCTCGGCTTCTCGTCGTAGGGACAGTGGCGGGATCCTCGCTGCTGGTCTCGCCGACTGCGAACGCGAATTATACATACGCTCGGGCACGAGTAAAAAGTACATTCGTAATAAAGTGGGCGCGCGGGGACTTCAATCTGGGAGAGAACGCGTGCGCTCTCGTGTATGTTAATCCGGCGAAAAGCTTACTTATTCCGCGCAGATCGGCGTGGTTCTACCGCCGTTTTTAAAATTTTCGACGCACATCACTCCCCGCGGGAGAGACGGACGCGTATATAACGGGTTGGCCTTATACCTGTACCTACGTACTCGTGCTGATGGTGTTTACTCGGCGCTCACGAAACGTGTACTTTGGAGAGTGAGCGTTGAGGAAGATGTAAAATGACGAAATCACCCGGGCGACCGTCACCGTCGGGCGGCCACCGTCGGAGTGACACGTGAATCCCGAATTATTCAACGACCAGAGAGAACGGCTTTTGTTGTTTTTATTGCAAAGAACGATCCGCTATTCCCTGCTGTCCTCTCGCTCCTCGTTCCCTGAGAGCACTCGGCGACGCACGCGACTCACCGGTGCTTCACGCTCTTCGCGAGAGAAGCGGCGACAATGCGCGTTTAACTATGCGAGCTGCAGGCTACACTATTCTCGGGTATCGGTGGAAAAGTCCGATCGCAGAACGTGAAAGCGTGCGCGGGACGAGAGCGTTTTCACAAACGCGTATATCCTCGTAACGCGGAGAACGACCGGCGAAACGATCGCGTTCGCATCGCAGCTACAAGGGATTCACGGCGGTTGTGCGTCGCGGTTTAACCCGCACTCCGCAAAGCAACGCGCTCTGTAACAGGAAGCGGCGGGATCAAAGGGAGTTTATTCGCGTTACACTCGCGCCACTTTGCGGAAGGCCCGCCCTTGCCCGTGTGCATTTCAGTCTTGACGAAATTACGTTTCTCCTTTTCTCCCTTTTCTTCGCCCCTTCTTTACCCCTTTTCCCGTCCACTGCTTGTCAAGTGTCACGTTTCAGTAATAGAAGCGGCCGGCGATCAAACTGGCGTATAAGCGCAATGGGATGTCGGGGTGTTTCGTGAATTCAAGTCATGTAATATTGTCTCTCTCTCTCTCTCTCTCTTAGGTTTTGTTATGAATTCTAGTTACGAAACGATTATAAATTCACGTGGCGTTTTCCGAGGACCAGTGATCGCGGCCTGTTCTTTCCTCTCGTAACTGATTGAATTGGTGCAGTTAGTCACAAAAAGGTGGCGACATTTTTTTTTAAATTTCGGAACGCATCCCGTGTCCAATAGGGGGATTTGTTTGTCAATAAATCTCGGGGGATGTATGTTCCTAGTGGATACGAGACTTGTCGCGAAAAGGGAATGTTGCAACCTTCCTGTGGCCGACCTATACACCCATACACACATCGGCATCGGAAAGCAACGTTTGCAATTAAAGAGAACAGCTGTTACTCACCCTTTAACGGGGCTATTCTCCGTGACATTAATCCTAATAATGTGAAAGAAGCGACGCCGTTTAGCGTTATAAGGAGGGTTTACGGAATCGTGCGTAAAAAGACTCGTTTTCCCTGTTCTTTTTTCTGCGACAGCTTTAATGATCCACGTCAGCCCGAAGACGAAGGAGATCTTGGACACTTTCGGCACGTTCGATCTCGTGTGCAGGGGAGAGGTCACACTGAAGGTAAGCCCTCGGCCGACACTCGAACTTTCGCTTCGACGCTCGCTCGATCCCGCGAGCTCACTTCGCGCAATTCGCCGTCTGTCTTGGAAGATGAACGTGGAGATGAGGTCGTCGCGAATGTGACGGTCGGTGTAGAAAATCGCGCATCGAGCGAGGGTTGAGTAGTCCGTTTCTGCTTTTCTCTCTCTTTCTCTCTCTGTCGTACCACAAACGTCACGGCGAGTGACGGGAGTGGCGGCGACGGAAAGGTGGCTCTCGTTTACCCTGATTGGGATTGGCATTTCGCGGCGGGAAGAAGAACGTCCGGGTAATCATTACGCGCGCGCGCGCGCGCCGGTTATGATCCTGTTCGTTCGATCTCGCGAGATATTCAGCTCGAATTGTTCTGGCCGCGCGTTTTTCCTCCGAGACAAACGATATGGCGAGCACACGATGACACGCGAGCTTTATATTCCGCTGCGTTCTCGGCGACGTAATGGTTACGACGACGACGGGTGTTTACATAATCGAAGCAACCCGTCGTTGTATCTTCGTGATCGCTCGAGTCGCTCCATTCCACGATAATCACGACGCAATCATTCGCAATTCTTCTCCAAGCTGATTGATTCATTTCGCCCGATTAATTATAGCCGAACGTACTTGATGTAAATTCGTCTCACGTCCCTCGTCGTGCGTCAATTGTGCGTATTAATTATTGCGTTGAGCGATTCGGTGGATCCGAATGACGATTTTTGTTTCGTTTCGTTTCTTTTGTTTTTATTCGTTCAATTTCGACGCTGTCCGCAAGATTTCATTTCGGTTTCTCCGCAGAGTGGATAACGTGGGCGATGTTCTCTCGACAAAGCCCTCGAAACTTCGACAATCGAGTTTGCAGCTCCGACGCGGATAGACCATGCGATAATTACGATGCTGTTATTTACGGTTCTTCTCTGATATGATTAACTTCGCGTTACGGCCGAACGCACTTAATTTAAATTCGTCTCATATCGTGTCAAGTACTACCTCGAGCGACTCGGTAGATCGAAATGACGAATTTTTCCCGTTTCTTATTACTATTATTTTTTTAAATTCACTTTCGCGATGTTATTTCACGAAATTTCATTTGAATTTCCCCTCAAAGCGTATAACGCAGGCGGTGTTTCTTCAACACAAAGAACACCGCTGTCCCAACTTCTACAATTTTGCTTACAACTCCGGCGTGGGTAGATCGCGCGATAATTACGACGGCGAATCATTTGCAGTTCTTCCCCAATCTGATTAATTTTGCATCACGCCCGAACATATTTAATATAAATCCGTCTCGCGTTATTGTATCAAATATTACTGCGCGTCGAGAGATTTAGTAAATCCGAATGACGAACATTTTCCGTTTCTTTTTTTTTTATCTTTCAATCCAATTTCGACGTTGTCGCGCGAAATTTTATTTGGGTTTCTCGCCGGAGCGCGTAACGTGGGCGGTTTTCCTTCAACAAAGAACACTGCTCTCCCAATTTCGACGATTGCGCTTACAATTCGAGTACGAGTAGACCACACGATAATCGCGACGCAATTATTTGCGGTTCTTCTTCGATCTGCTTGATTAATTTCGCGTTATGGTCGAACGTATTTCATATAAATTCGCCTCACGTGTCGTCGTGTCAAATATCGCTGTGCGTTGAACGATTCGACAGATCTAAATGATCTGAATTATTCCCGTTCTTCCCGTTCCTTTTTTTCATTCAGTTTCGACGTTTCCCCGCGAAAATTTTCAATTTCTATTTCAGTTTCTCCCCCCGGAGCGTAAGCGGTGTTCCCTCGACAAAGTACACAGCTCCGCCAACTTCGGCAATTGCGCTTGCAACTCCGGCGCGGGTAGATCGTGCGATTGCATTGTGCCGAGCGTGTCGCCGAATTTCCATAAGCTCATCGCACGTATCCGACGTATTCGGCGATGTCGCGGTAACTGCGAACGTTATGCCCTCGGTGACACTCGCTTAATACACAGGGTTCATCGTTTCGCGGCGCTGTATTGTCCCCAGACGCGGTGCGTTTCTGTTTCCCCGGAAGAGAACGATTCGCGTTTAATCTAGCGAAGACTATTTCCCGCCTCGCCGAAATTAGCGCCGCTCGACGAGACGCGACGACGATAAGACCCTTCTATTGCGTTCGATTGCGTGCTAATTTTCGCGACGATAACTACGGGCATTATGCGTGGTCGGAGATTATGCGATCGGCTTATACCATTCGGATGCGCGTTTGTCGTCGGATCGACGTCGCTGAATTGAGATTGAGGCTAATTCCTACTATACAGTCAAAGCACGTTCAGAATGGAGTCGCATAGATTTTCCACGTCATTCATACTCCCCGATCATCTGTCAATCCGACAACCTTCCGTCAGTCTTGCAGTATCATCCGTGTCAATACATGGTTTTAAAATGTTTCTCAAATTCTCGCTTATTAAAATCGCTTTAATTTTGGATGGGAAAGGACAGAACGTGGAAATATTGAAAAAAAAAACGGACATTTTTGAATACATCAGATATACTGAAAAACCGGAAAGTAGGAGAAGAATTCGTAAAATTACATCCGGAACTTATAGATGACGAAGCACAATTTTTTTACTATTTTAAATATACGTATATATTATATTTTTTAAGTAAATATCTCTCGTCCATCTTGAACGAGGAAGATAAGTTCCCCTTCATGGCTGAGCCTCTATTGACCGTTTCGCATTCTCACTCGATGATCACAAGAGGATCACCACGGTCGTGCCGCGATCCAGACTTCTTCCGAAGAATCGTCGCGATCCCGTGACCGTCGCTCGACTTGGCCGTGACCGACAACGTGAATGCAAACGCGAAGAAACATTGAATTCAACGGAATCGATATCTGACCGGACTACGACACGATCGTGACCGATAATGCGATAACGCTCGCATTAAATCGTCTGTAGGTCGACTGGCTACACCTGCCACTGTGAATGCCGTGATCGACGGAGGCGTCGATGGGGCGATTGAATCGTTTACCGTGCAATTCGGGTCAAAGTTCAGCGGTCGCGAGCGGTCGGGCGGGGATGGCCGAGCGGGATCGCAACGTTATGCAGTTAATTAGCAAGATAACACCGGTAGAAATTCGCTCGCGTGCACGCGTATCGTCGAACTCGCCGGGCGGGATTAAAATTCAGAGCTCCGCTGGACAATACATACGCCGCGGCTGATTTGAATATTCAGGAGCGTGCGTGAACGAAAGGTGGGCGCGCGCGCGCCACACGGCGCGATCGTTTTCGTGCAAGGGGACGATGGGAAAATTTTCGTTCGTGTTACAGTCGAGTTTCACCGGCCGGAAGGTGATATCGATTCGATCCTCGTAATCATGCACATCGCACAGCCCGACCGCGGGTTTTAATTATCAATTACCGCGGCTCGCGTCCGATTGAAGTACCGACGTCGATATAATCTCCCGCTTTCGGCAACGTTCGCAGGGCAAAGGCACCATGACCACTTACTGGCTGATGGGCGAGAAGCCGATCAACAACAACGTGCAGCAAACGAATCCCACGACGACGATCGGTCAGATATCGTCCCCGCAGGACCAGCTCGCCGTCGGCACGCAGGTCCCGACGACGCAGGTACCGGCGAAGCAACAAGAGCAACGGGTTCCCACCGCTGTCCAGCAGCACAAACATCAGGGTCACTCGGACCTTGAAGTCTCCGGCGGCTGGCCAGACGCCCAATCGATCCAATCGAGGAATCAGGAGCCACGACCGGGTCAGCAGAGGCCGCAGGAACCGCAGCAGCCGGGTTTAACGACGCAACCGCGAAGTCAAGCGGCCAATCGCCGCTCCGAGTCGCCGGTCCCGAGCCAGATCCAGCAGCAGAAAGCCGCGGCTAATCCCGCCTGCGGTCTATCCGTGACCGGGAACGGAGCACCCAAGTCCGTGTCGTCCCGCGGCGTGGTCGCGACCCCGATCGGCAACTCGTCGCCGTCCCGCAGCAGCGCGAACAATCCCATGCACCAGGTCTACCCCGCGGCCGAGAGCATGCCCAATCACACCGAGAGCGGCCCCAACGCGCCGCTTCTTCTGCCCGCTGGCGCGGTGCCCAGAGTTTAGCTCTCTTAAAGCGTCCGTCTGCCAGCCGAGTCCGCCTTGCCAGTTGCCGAAGGATGACCATTTCGAGGAGCAGCGATCGTCACTGAAGAGCCAGACTTGCTCGAGATCGGGACGACGAGCTCGTGAAATTTCGACTCCTCGCGTCCCGGCAGGTATCGCCGAGGCGAGCTCACGAACACATCGCGACAGAGCCCCGTTTGCTCGACTTGTGACCACCGACGGAAGGAAACTCAGACGCTGGTTCAAGTAACCAACCGATCGTCTCTGTCGCTTTCTAGGGAGTTACCTTCGTTAAATTAGGGAGTCGATCGGCCGGTGGAGAGGTATGTTTCGAGTTACGCGCAAGACCGACTGAATATACCCTACTGAAACAGTATTCGCATCGTTAGTGGTAGCTGTTAGCTGGCAAGGCGCGACCTCGCGGAGCCGAGGACCGACCACAAGTTTGCTGAAAGTGATCTCTTCCTACAAGGTATTATGGAACCAACGTCTACCGATTAGGATAATTTAGGACAATTTAGGAGCACCGCCGTACGAGCCCATCGCGTCTCCCCATCTCTTCANCCCCCCCCCGATTTCCTCCCCCTCTCGCGAACGAGCGAGCGATGATCGCGCGAAACTTCGCTTTCTCCATCACCCGCGTGGCGGGAAATTGTTCTCGCTGGCGCAGCAAGTCGTTTCTTATTACAGTGACAGCGAAAGAGAGCACTGAAACATCCATTTAGTCGACTCGAACGAAATTCGATCGGGATATGCTCTGGTAAATCTTTCGGTTGTGAGAAGCAAAATTCGGTTCTCTGAAGTTCCTTGGAAACTAAAACTTTTTTCATCTTCGTTTCGGAGATCGAAACCTTTGATTCAGAGAAGCAAATTTTGACTCTCACACACGGACAGAAATAATTTCGCTATTGTAGCCAAACTTCGTAGCGAATCGTTGCGATCGCGATAAAAATCTAGTTAGGCACAATCAGCAATTAATACTCCCGATTGAAAGTCTTTCTGCCGTCGTTCTAGCAACAGACAATTCGCTGCGCCAGCAAATTTTCCCCCGTGTAAGAATCCGTCGGTTCGTTTCCCTTCGATATCCTTCGCTCGATAGTTGAAGCGGACCTCGTCGGTCGCGTGCCTTCTCTCTTTCTTTCTCCTTACGTACACGACCGACGACGCACTTTTGCCGAGAGTACTTATCTCGTCTCCTGTATATGGACACAGTATTATACACCGGTCGCGTATGCACTCTCGCGCGTTTTATTTATTCGAGCCGAAGCGGTCGTCGCGTCGCTCGTTTGTGCGCGCGCGCGCGGTTTCCGCGAGATTCATTCGCAGCGGTATGTAATCACGTAACGGGCTTAGCTTCGGCAAGTTTTCCGTGCTGTCCGCGGCCGATACCGGTCTCCGTTGAACGCCACGCGCCGATTCGGTGGAAATTCGCGAACGTAGGCGGATCCGGCCTTCTTTTCTTTCCCCGAAGGAACTCGGAGAGTCCCATCGACACGTTCTATAAACTCCGGTTAGCTGAGCGACATTTCCTCCCTCCCTCCCTCCGTGTCGCGTCACCGAGACCACCGCTTAGAGAAATAAGACGAAATGGTATGCCGAAGGTAGAGCTTATATCGACGTTAATGAAGTCGACCGTGATAAAACGACTCGCGTGTGCGTGACCGTGAAAATACGCAAAAAGCCAATTTCCTCGGCCAATTGCGTTATACCTCTTTTACACGGAGATGTGGAGCGCAATCTTCTCTAGCGTATCTTCCGCCAAAAAATATGTCCGCTCGTCTCTCTCTCCGCTTACCGTCTCCTCCCTACTTTCGCCTGCGATCGCGAATCACGAATACACACGAGCTGTAGGTCGGCCACAATGTTTCTCGTTGCACGCCCAAACATGACAAATGTTATCGGTCGCGATACGCGCGTGCTCGCGCGACACGGAATTACGTACCTACACACACACACACACACATACGTAAGGTGTTATATATTAATATACAAAGAGAGGAAAAAAACAGAGAGATATATATGTATACACACAGGTATATGTGTATATGTTTACGAAAATAGATTATATATATATATATATATATATGTATATGGCTGCGAGAAAAAAACAAGTTACCGTAGCTACGTCGATGTTTAGGGCCACTCGTGGCGAACGGAGGCTGGGCCTCTCGGCGAGTCCACGAGGTGTCTGGAAAATAGTATATCGTGCGAGTGCGACACGTACGGCCGTGTGCAAATACACGTACTTGCGTACGGAAGAGCGGGTATACGCACGTGCGGTGGCGGTGGTGCGTAACACGTGTTTCGCGTACGGAACGAACGCTGCAAGTGGCTTGATTATTTGCCGCGGTTACCCCGTCGGGAACGTTACGACGCGGTGGCGCGGCGGGAGCACGCGTACACCGGATGCGACGCATCACGCGAAGAGTGAACTTTCTATCTGTGTCAATCTCTCTTTTAATGATGTACCAATCAATACATATACACACGCATATATATTCCGTAAAAGAAAATAAAGTTTAATCGTTTTCAAGTTCGTCGCAGACGACTCACGGCGCCCTACGTCGCGCGGTGAAAAGGGAAGATGACCCGTCGGAAGGGAAAAGTGCTGCGTTCAAGTAAACAGTCGTTAAGAAGTGTCGGAGTGATGATTTTATTTGGATGAAATACTACTTGAGTGTCGGATTGAATCCTCTAATAAAAGATTTACTTCAATACACTTTAGCAAATATTTACTTGTACGCGGCACTTTTTTCCTTCAATGTACACCTGCCTGCCGGGCCTCTCCCAATTGCCCCCTTATATCTATTTGATTGTTGCACTTTCAGTTGACAGGTCGTCGAAGGAATCGTCTCGTCGGACGGTCGCGCATCTCTCACGAAATCTCCTCGCGCGTATAAAAGTAGAAAAATCTTTGGCACTAGAGAGCGGCGGCGAGACGTAGCGCGACGCTCAGAATACGGCGTTCGCGAATATCCAGTCGAGGTAAGAGCTCACACGGGTGTATATTCCCGGGAATCCAGGATCACCGCAGCGAATCCCCCAGGATACAATCCCGATGTTGACCCACCTGCCGTTACCGAGCTGATGTAGCAACGGGCCACCCGAGTCTCCCTGGGAAGGAAAAAGACCGCTCGGTAAGACGCGCGCGGGAGTGTTCGCCGTTCAACGTCCATTTGCGCGGCGTCCTAAAGTATCGATATCGATTTTCTCGCTGGAGGGCAAAAGAATCGCATTTGCGCGCCACGTTAAACGAACGATCGGTCGTCTCACCTGACAGGCGTCGCGACCTCCCTCGTAAGCACCCGCGCATAACGTGGTACCCGTGATCTGTTGGGTGAAGCTGCGAACGCACCTCTCCTGAGGCCACACCGGCACCCCGACTTCCATCAGCACGGTACTGGCGGGTCCCCCGTAATACTGCGTGCCCCAGCCTACGGATGCGAACGACTTTAGCGGAGATTTTACTCTCTCGTTTCCCGCGCGTTTCACTCTCTCCGTTCGTCGGTTTACGGGTGAACGCGGAAAGGTATGTGGATAAAAAAGTCGAGACCGGTAACGACGGCGCTCTTGTTCTCGAAGGTCTGCTGAATGGGCGGCAGGCAGACGGGCCAGATGTAGCTGTTGAACGTGGTGGGTCGGTGGATCTTAATGATGGCGATGTCGTTCTCGTAAGTGGTGTACACAAAATCCCGGTGCACTCGTATCTCCGACACCATAAAGTCCAACGCTCGCGTCTCGTCCGGCTTGGTGAAATCGTACTCGCCGAGTCTCACGGTGATGTCGCGCGGCTTGTACCTAAAACGACGGCGAGAACGCGAGATAACTGTATGCCCGTGTCGTTGGCGTCGTGTGTAACTGTAATTTCGTGGTTACGACAAACGGGCCGCGCGCGTTAGACTCGGCCGGACGGCGATACGACGCCACCGACACGCCGAAATCATTATAAAGTCCGAGCGCGGCCGCCGGCGCGCACGACCGCAGGAATGTGTGTGCGTGTGTTCTTCCGCGCCGGCCGAATTGTAAAAGTCGCCGAACGCCTCCGAACTCGCGGACATAATCGAATGTATCGGTGCACAGGTAGCAGACATATTGTTCGCTACTTCGAAATCGTCATAGAAATAATGTTCGACTCTTCCTTGGCACATTGATTTCTCGCCGCTCAATTTGGCACGCTGGCTGTGCGAAATTGTTCACTCTTCCCTGGCACACTTATTTTTTGCCGCTTAGTTTGGCACACTCTCTGAGACTCCATACAACTTTTCTGATATATCCTTTCTCAAATATCCACACGGTGGAAATATCGCGGTGAAAATGATTACAAAATTCTGTCACGCTGACCGAAATTATTATGCGTGTCGTAGTCTTTGGTGATTTATACAATGAAGTGCATCACTAAACATTACAACATACATCATAATAGTCATAATTCTTCGCTTCGGTCACCCACGAGTGCCAGAGTAGAGTTAATTCATGCTACTTCGGACGCGATTTCCAACCGTCGTGGACGAATACATCGAAGGGCTTACCTGTAGACGCAATGCGCGGCGGTGAGCACGTGTCTATCTGTGATCAACACACCCCCGCAGTACTGAATCGCGCCTTGCCTGAGAAGAGCGGCCATCCACGGCCATTCCTTCGGGTCAGCCGGTCGGCCACCCACGATTCTGGTCTTCATCTTTGTGGTCATGCCGCATCCTCTGGGTTTCCGCGGTTTCCTCGTCTCCTCGTCCGTACCGTCTCGCTTCGAAGTCGCGTCGTTGCCCGACACCTTGTCATCGGCAGGTGGCCCGCTCTCGCCTGCGGTCCCGTCCCACTCCTCTTCGTCGTCGTCGATATCTGAGAGAGAAACGGAGAATTCGAAGTACACGTGGCGAACTTTTACCCATGCAAACACGCGGATACTTGGTATTCGAGAGCCAGCACGGTACTCGGTACCGGCACCGACAGATGCTTATCATGAAAGTACGCGCGTGTACGTTCCCTCCATCGGGACCGGTCGGGTTAACTGATAAAGGCACACGTACACGTGCACTTGCCGCGAAGTTTGCACCAACGGATTAACAATGTGCGGTCTCTCGCGTGCGGTTATGTAATTGAGAGACACTTTTCAACCGTTACCCCACGTTATCCGGCTTGCGATCGATCGCACGTTTCGCGGAAGCCGCGGTAGGGGAGCTATAATAATTATTCGTGATTTCGCTAATTTGTATATACGTATAGAAATGAAATTGGAATATAGAACAGAGAAGCACGGACTTGCTATCGCCGGTAACACGCTGGCCAAATCATCGTTGAAGGTTTTATCCGCTCGCACTGTCACCGCGCTGTCCGGGCAACATACGCCGATGTACCTGCGATGAAAAGTACGTTAATATCGGGGAGATTGATGAGCAAGCTACATTGTTGTTGGCTTACGTCTGCTCGATTATGCACATATAATTCACAAATCGTTCAAAGTTCGAGCGGAACTCCTCAAGGACGCATCCGCTGAAATGTTTACAATGGCCGTTCCGATTGCCAGGCGCGATGCAAGCCTGATATGTTTTCTAGAAATAATAAACCGTTAGTACATATATATACATTTGTCAAACATCTGTTAAGTTTCAAATTTATCCGAGATTTTACGTTAAATTTACCAGTCTTTGGCCTGTAAATTTTCTGATAACGTTCCGCGATAACGCACCTGTTTAGTTAAAGTTCCGGGGCCAAGATTGACGAGTCGTTTGCCTCGAAGGTACGGGTGGGAGACGTTTTCCGAAAATCGAGGCAGATCTGAATCTCCGAAACGTGCTCGCCATGTCTGATCTTCGAGTCTCGCCGGATCTGAAAGATACAGCGCGAATCGCATACATTGCGGGCACATCGCACTCGTGCGTGAATATATGTGTGACACGCAACGAAATTTAATGAGGACCATCGAGGAGGATAGAGCATCCGGGTGATAAACTTATCGGTTCTACATTAATTTGGTTGTTTCCGTCGAAAGAACGCGCCTTCGGAAGCTCCCGAAACGCAGAGACGCAGGAACGACGCTTGATTTATTATTTAGTCGCTATGTATCGTCACGATGTCATCCATTACGTCTGTTTTTAGTAATTTGCATTTGCGGATACAAGATATATACGTTGAAAAATGTAGCAATCAAGAGAAACACAAATCTTAATGTATTATGTGATAAGATAGATGAATGAGTTCTTCTTAAAACGAAGAATTTAAAGAAGTATTATTATATTAGTTTATGTCGAGAAACATCGCGGATCTATTTGTCGTATGAGTTATCGATCGAAGTAGTTATATGAATTACATATTTCTGTCTCGAAAAAAATAAAAACGCTGATGAAAGTAACAAGAAAATTCACATGTTTCAACAAATTACTTTGGCTTTGTAAAGTGAGAATTTTATTTCAACTCGAGAAACACATAACATTTTGATGAATTATATCACTATTTCTATCCATTTCGTTCATTTTTTTTTTATTTGAATATTTTTCTCGATATTACAAGAAAGGCTGAGATATTGTGTTTGTTATAAAATAACGCTCACCTGCGATAATCTCGAAGTTAGTGACGGGTAGACAGTGGCAACATTGGTAGATGCACAACGAACAGAATAACACAAATCGAGAGATATTCGTGTAGGTCCACATTGAAATTAGCGTCGTCTCCGACTGTCGTTGTATGATAATAGCGGAACCGCAACTGTGACGGTGACTTTTTAGCTAGGACGGTCTCGCTGGTCGAGAACGTACAATGACTTCGAAATACAGAAAACCGTAGCTTATATACACACTCCTGCGTCGTATGGAACCCTGCGAGCACTTCTTCAAGCTGGATGCCTTCCATCAGGTGCAGTGACGCATGCGACGCGTGTTACTCTTACGAACCATACACACAGAAAAATATGTATTACATTCAAGTAAATATTACTTGTTTCGAATATTTCATAAGTTTATATACCCGCAAGTATATCATAGGTTCATCATAATCTCAAATTTATTCGAAATATATTCTGAACTCTCGTAAGTTTAGTATTTCGATCGAGAATATCACATTAAAACTAAAACTTCGGTTTTCTTATTCCAATTAACTGAATTTCACTTTATTCCTCGATAAAGTTTATAATATGATTGAAAAGAAACAAATTCTGTTTTTAAGCCAACGATAATAAGCTTTTCCGATGTTTGTGATGAGTATATTTTAATACTATTATCAAGGAAATATTCTTTGTTCAAGATAACCATTACTTGAAAGGAGAGAAATAAACTGAGTAATTGCTTTTCTTCGCAGTACAAGTAATATTTTTCTCTGTGCAGGATAATGAAAAACGCTCGCGTTGCGATTACCATTATTTCACTCTGCCATCATTGGATGTATAATAAATTAATTATCCAGTTTGCATCGTGTATTGCGTTACGTGCAACGTGCTCGGCATGAGAAGCAATCGCTTAATTGAAGAAAGCTCGCAATAAGAAACAATTTGCAAAATCAACCAATTTCGATGAAATTGCTCACTGTACAATCTGCACAATGGACGTTTGATTGAAATTCATTCGTTATTCGATACATTATCGTGCGATATATTTCGGCATTTTTCACGCGTTAGCCTTTTAGATTGGCTATCAGAGATATCTTTATGCACGTCGCACACATCCATCCAGTTAAACGATCAATCCGAAACAAACGTATCAATTCAACGTCGCTCTCGACCGCGATCATTCAATGAACCCATTACGTTAACGCCGCGTAATCGTCAGAAAGACTAAGGCTGCGGATCCGGAGTCGGTCAGGAGCCATTTGGGGGAAGAGAAGAAGCCGGGAGAAAATTACGCACGACCTGTCCGAACAAAGGTTAATTCATGCGAATACTTGCCGCATACACTTGTCGAAGCGAGGAGTAATGGACGGCCGGTAACTTGAGAAATATTCGATTCCGTTCGACGTTTCATTAAACGCTCGACACGCTGACTCCGTATGGAGGCAGCGTCGCGGGACTCGCTTTGAGAGCCGAAGAAGAGGAATAGCGGGATCGTGTCTAGAGCGTAAAGAAGAGTGAGAACGAGTCGAAGATGGACGAGAGGAGAGTCCCGACGGGAGGAGGGAGGGAGGAGAACAGGAGAGAGATAGAGAATGAAGAAACGAGTATATCCCCCCCGTCCTCTCTTTCTCTTTCTTGCTTTCTCGAGCAACCGACGGATAAGTCCAGTGGTCTTCCGTCTTCGTTTCTAAATGCGATACTCGAGAAAACGGACGTCACCCACATACCTGTTCAGGCCATTGGCTTCGTCCAGGCGGACGTACGCATGTGCGTGCCCACCTCTACGGTCACGCGAGACTTACACGCACGAGTGTCGCGTGAGAAGCAAGCTATAATTTTTTACCTTCCCTTTTTCGCTCCTGAAACTGTTCGATGCTCAGTAAAGGAATTTTCATATCGCGGATTTTGCGAGCTGATCGTTCCATCTCTTTGGTCTCCGTCTTCGTATTTTGCATCGCACACGCTCCACATCTTATCCGGACAGGTAGAATTCAAGCGAACGCGTCTTTACCGGGACGCTTGGCATTTAATGCGAGTACGAATGCGGATCGTTTGAAAGTTTCCCGGCGACTTCCACGTGTCCTCCCGTTGAAGGGAACACAAAGCTGCGATTGAGAAGCGCGCGCGCATCGCAGCGTTTTACGCATGTCGGCTATTTATTTATGCACGCGTCATTGATCGCTCCGAATGAGACGTAACTCGAAGTCGACCGTGCTGATAACGGGTCACGCTCGTTCCATGATTTACTTTTTTCTCGAGTCGAGAAAAAAGCGAATCTCTTATACGACAGACAGGCGGTGAGGAAACCAAGCATTATTTATAAACTAGGCAGCGATCATGCGATGTTTTTCCTTTCATAGTGCAAAATATTTTGTTCTTCTGTTAAAATCGGCCTTTGTTAAAACTTTTCTGTTACATTTTTTACACGTCGATGTATCATTTTAACATATTGTGTTTATTGTTTTATTGTTCTATTCTAAAACATGTGTATTTTATCGCGTTGAGTCGATATCTAACATGTGTAAGTGTGAAAATATTTTATACTTTAGCACCGATTAATATATTATGGACATTAATTTCGTATTAATTTTTGACATAATATTTGTGTTATTTCTCAACATATTCACCTTATGTTAAATTAACATAAAAATTTGAATGGGGCATGTGAAATGTATCAGAATTAATACAAAACTTTTTACTGTGTGAGCGCGAAAACGTGAAAAGTGACATTTCCAAATATTTTCGAATTCGAAAATTACACTTTTTATGAGTTTGTTCTCCAGAGGGGAAAATTCACGATTGACCTTGACCGTTTCAGAAACACGAGATACGCGGAATAATTATCGCGCTCGCCGTATTTTACCATTTTCCCAGGGTATTTTATCGTTTCGATTCACATGAGAAATTAAGCAGTCAGTGGCAACGAACCGTGCGACATAGACTCGAACGAAAGCGTGTCGCGAAGGACGAGAGATCAAATTCGTACTTTCTCGTTCTGAGAGAGAGAGAAGCGATGTCCACGGCTCGCACTCGAAGCATCTCGTGAGACAGCTTTTCGACGCACCGTTCAAAAGATGCGCACGCTTTCTATGCTTATTCCCTACATTACAGATTCAACGCGTAGCTACGCAGAAGGCGTACTCGACTGCTCGTCTTCGCTGTCGGCGAGAGCTCGTCGCCGGTCGCTCTTTGCATTGTAAGTTTAACAGTAAATTCGTCACGTCACTCGCGACTCCGAAACCTGCCTGCGGCGTTGCACCGAAAAGGCGGTTATCTCTCGGTTATCGTCTTTCGCTGCGGAAATTTCGCCTTACATGACGACGACTTTACGTTCGCGGCCGAACACGACGCGTGACGGACGATTTCGCACGCGGCCAGATGACCCAGCGATATTTTGGAGTGTTTTCGCAGAGGATGGAACCGTCTTCGTTCGCTGTAAGACTCTATGAGAAACTGAGGGCGGAAATCCAGATATCAAGTATCGAGGTTACGCCTCAGCGGGAAATTGTCGTCACCCACATGCTCGACACGTCTCACCTCCAGATGTCCCGTAAACTCGCATCTCCATACAGGACCGAGAACGTGGATCTTCATCTTGATCCGCTCGCGAGCAAGATTAGTTTGCCGCCTCTCGCAATCGCGGGTGTTCGGCTGAAGATGGATGCGCCCGAAGGGAACGCGTTCGCGCGCGACGTAATACTCGGGCAATTTTATTCATCGTGTCGGCGTTTTCGAATTATCGACTGAAGACGTGAATTTCCTCGTGTGTTTTGCGAGGACGAGCGAATGAAGATATTAATTAATTACGAGGGAGAAACACTCCGTGCCGCCGTCGATTGACCGGTCAGGTTCAGGCGGATGTCGAAGGACACGTTAAAAATAACACACGGGGCATCTTAACCGCGGTGACAACCCGATTCCTCGGCGTCACGTATCGACCTTGCGACCTTTTTCCTCGGATATTCGATCGTCGGGGACGCTTACGTAGCTCGATACGATAGCCACCGTGACGAGAAGCGAGAGATGCAAAGTGTACGTACGCGTCGCCTAAGTGGGAGAGAGCAACGAAAGAGGAGGGAAAGCGAGAGAGATCGAAGGAGAAATAAGGAGAGAGAGAGAGAGGGGGAGAGAGATAGAAAGAGACGACGCGAAATCCGGTGAGATCGCGATTGGGGGCAACCCCGGGGCATTTCCATTTAAGGTACCCCGTACATATCCCCCTTCTGCTCCGCGTGTCACTTTGGCACGCATAATCGCGAGACACTTTGCGCGCCGCCAGACGCGTTCCCGCTTCTTCCACACGATATATTTTCGTTTTTTCCCATTTTTATCCCCGGAAAGAATACAATCCCGATCGAAATGATAAGCCGGATGCAAGCTCCTCAGAAAGCTCGAGATAACTCTCCACGAACTACCTTGGGCTGTTTATTCTTCTAAAGTGTATTACCACTGAGGAGCAGTCAATAGTCACTAGTGATCATAGTTATAAGTATAGCACTGTAAATTAGTAAAATTTCGGAAACGACAGGCTCGTTTATCCATCCAGGCTGTCGACCGTGGATTCGCACGAGGCGCAGCGATATCATTGAGACGGCCGCACGATAATTGCTACTTCTGTACAAGCTAAATGACTGATAAGCGGAGATCAAATCGTTGACGGGTAATCGCGAAAGCCCGGATCGATGGCGCGTGCTGAAAGTTGACTGCGAGGTATCACGAAACGTCTTCGTCGGCGTGAGAGACTCGCAATCGAGAAATTCCAGCGAACCGCGCCGAAACACCGGCGGATTAAAGGGCAGAATGGAAGATAGAATAATAAACGAGAAGGAGGCAAACGCTAACGAGATTTGGATCCCTACCTGTCACGTCGTATTCACGGTCCTGGCTCGAGTGGCAACTAAACGCGAACTAAAACCGAAGGTTAACAAGGTGAGGGATCACTTTAGATTTCGTATGAGAAACGCTCGCGTTGTATTTCGAAATAGTCCGCTCCAATGCACTCCTTAATTAGACAGCGAAAAAATACGCAGCGAGAGACGGACGTGAATAAAAAAGTACGTTAAGAAAATCACATCTTCAACATTACAAATAGGAATATATCTGTTTCGAGAAAGTTTGATTCTGCATTTATTATATAAATTCCGTCGAACTTGAAGAATCAACGGAGAATCGTCAAATATAATGTTATGCAGCTATTGTCTTACTCTGATGCTACAAATAATTATTTACTTTCTTTTTCCATATTGTAATGCCAAGATGTTCATTAAAATCGGAAATATTCTATAAAAGATTCGATATACCTGGAAATATATCGCTGTCCACGTTTCGTCCTGGTTTTTCGATTGAACATCATG